TGGAGGTGCAATGCATGGAGATGAAATGTGCAAAGGTGCAACGTGCTGGGATGCAATGAGTGGAGGTGCAATGCAGGGGGGGTGCAACAGACAGGGGTGCAATGCACGGAGGTGCAGTGTGCAGAGGAGCAGTGCATGGAGGTGCAAAGGTGGAGGTGCAATGCATGGAGGTGCAATGGATGAAGGTGCAAAGATGGAAGTGCAATGGATGGAGGTGCAAAGATGGAGGTGCAATGCATGGAGGTGAGGTGTGCAAAGGTGCAACGTGCTGGGATGCAATGAGTGGGGGTGCAATGCATGGAGGTGCAGCAGATAGGGGTGCAATGCACGGAGGTGCAAAGTGCAGAGGTGCAGTGCATGGGGTGCAAAGGTGGAGGTGCAATGGATGGGGGTGCAATGGATGGAGGTGCAAAAATAGAGGTGCAATGGATGGAGGTGCAACAGATGGAGGTGCAATGTGCAAAGGTGCAACGTGCTGGGATGCAAGGTGTGGTGGTGCAATGTACAGTGGTGCAACATGGAGAGGATGGAGGTGCAACGAGTGGAGGTGCAAAGATGGAAGTGCAATGGATGGGGGTGCAGTGTGCAAAGGTGCAACGTGCTGGGATGCAGTGAGTGGAGGTGCAAAGGACGGAGGTGCAACTGATAGGAGTGCAATGCATGGAGGTGCAATGGGCAGAGATGCAATGCATGGAGCTGCGATATTTGCTATGGGGTCAGCCCAGCTATGGGGTCAGCAGAGCTATGGGGTCAGCCCACCCATAGGGTCAGCCCATCTATAGGATCAGTCCAGCTGTGGGGTCAGCAGAGCTATGGGGTCAGCTCAGATATGGGGTCAGCCCAGTTATGAGGTCAGCTGGACTATGGGGTCAGCAGAGCTATGGGGTCAGCCCACCTATAGGGTCAGCCCATCTATGGAGTCAGCCCATCTATGGGTCATCCCAGCTATGGGGTCAGCCCAGTTATGGGGTCAGCCATGAGGTCAGCCCAGCTATGGGATCAGCCCAGCTATGGGGTCAGCCCAGCTATGGGGTCAGTCCAGTTATGGGGTCAACCATGAGGTCAGCCCAGCTATGGGGTCAGTCCAGTTATGGGGTCAACCATGAGATCAGCCCAGCTATGGGGTCAGCCCAACTATGTGGTCAGCCCAGTTATGGGGTCAGCCATGAGGTCAGCCCAGCTATGAGGTCAGCCCAGTTATGGGGTCAGCCCAGTTATGGGGTCAGCCATGAGGTCAGCCCAGCTATGGGGTCAGCCCAGTTGTGGGGTCAACCATGAGATCAGCCCACCTATGGGGTCAGCCCAGTTATGGGGTCAGCCCCGTTATGGGGTCAGCCATGAGATCAGCCCAGCTATGGGATTAGCCCAGTTATGGGGTTAGCCCAGTTATGGGGTTAGCCCAGCTATGGGGTCAGCGCAGTTATGGGGTCAGCCCAGTTATGGGGTCAGCCCAGTTATGGGGTCAGCGCACCCCATGCGTGCCGGCTCAGTAGCAGGGCTGGCTGCGAACTCAATGAGCCGTGAACCCCGTAAGGCCCGGCTGCCAGATGGGGTCGGGCTGGGAGAGCCGCAGTGCTTTGGGGCCGTGTGTGGGATTTGTCCCCAGAGCCGGGATCGGCCGCCTCCTAATGCTGCTCTGCCACCTCCGGGCTCCACGGGGGATTTGGGGCACAGCGGGAGCTGCTGGGCTGTGAAGATATCCACAGCCACTGCTCCCATCCCATCCCATCCCATCCCATCCCATCCCATCCCATCCCATCCCATCCCATCCCATCCCATC